TAGCAGAAAATGTCAGCTACCTAATTCCTACTCTTTACTGGCACATGACTTAGGCTCTGGTAATCAGATACCCCTTCCAGGGACTCTGGCTCAGGCCCTGGTGAGATAAAGAAGCATGATCAGGGAAGGATTTACTTTGACAGCAGCAGCAGCCAACTCTGAGTGGTCAAGTTGCCAAGAGCACCACCCTATATTGGAGCAGTTTGTGTCAGCTGGTGCTCAGTGAAATGACAGCAGTGTCCTTGCTAGCCTGGTTATGTGGCATGCCTCAGGCTAGGATTTCAATAGCCAGCCTCCCCTTGCACCTGCTAGTTTCCCAAGTCTGCTTTTCTAGTCTTCTGGGAGCTACCTACTATCTTTTTAATTCTTTTCTTTTCTTCTTTAATCAGCCAGTTTTAGTTTTAATCCTAACCATTGATAAGGAAACAGGATTAGTTACTTGCAGTTTGATGTCATCCTCTTACAAGTATGAGATTCATTAGAAGTTAAATGAATCTCTGTTTACAATGCTCAGTTCTAGCAGTCTTGAAGAAGTACCTGGGCATGTAACCTAGGGAATGTCCACTAGGCTTGAATAATCTATTTGTCAGAGAGTGTTCAAAACAGCATGTTATTGCCTCTTCGTCCTGGACCTATAGTAAAATAGTATTTTAAATGTAAAAGTATAAGTCCTCAATGGAAAGGCAATGGGAATATATCAGCATCTGAGAGATTTCAGCAAATTTTTAAAGAACAGTTCTGAGGAGTGTAACTAATGATAGAAAAAGTTAAAATTCAAGGATTCTCAGGAAGAGTTACAGCTAACGTGAAAAACTAGTGAATTTAAACTTATCCTAGACATATGTAGGATTTTAGAATGGTAGGTATTAGTATAAAAGACAAAAAAGATACAAAAGTACAAAAGACAAAAGATAAAGTACTGAAAACAGAAGACATCTTTGTATTAGAATAGGACAATATATACATTGAATCATATAATTTTAAATTTTCAAATAGCAAATTAAAACAAGTAAAAAGGTGAAGTTTAATATATTTTATCTAACATAATATATTAACGTTTTAATCAATATAAAATTTGTTAGTGAGCTTTTTATATAGTGTGTGTGTGTTTGTATGTGTGCGCGCGTGTGTGCGTGCACTAATCTTTAAAATTTGGGTTGGATTTCATATTCCCATGCAACTTGAAATGTGCCACATTTTAATTGCTCAGTAGTCATACATGGCTGCTGGCTACTATATTGGCCAACAGAACTCTATATGATATTCTGTGCAGAAAAAACATTAAAAACCCAGGTGTCTGTTCTCCCTTATAGAAAAGTTAAAAATGTTTTGTTTATAAATATATATATACATGTATATATACATGTACATATATATGTACATACATATATATGTATATATACATGTATATATGTAATCTTAATGGCCCTGCAACAAAATTACGAATTTTCAGCATTCATTGTTTCCCCAGAAGAGTTAGCTATATTTAAATTGAAACTGTTAATCAACAAACTCAGTCACAGAACTCCCAATTAGTTATTTTCAAATTAGAACACAAGCCCAAAGTATTGCAAATATAGCAGAGAAATATTTCAATAAGAAGGAGAACTATTAAAGTTGAAAATATTGTGACACTGAAGAAAATAGAGTTCAAAGAACAGAAGGGAACTTTAAACAATAACAACAAAACCTTTATTTGGTATCTTTGGAGGTATTCAAACAATATTCTGTCCACAAAATGAGTATAAAATGAAAAGGAAGAAATCATAGAAATTAAAAGTATCATGGTTGAAAAAAAATAATTCAATAAGAGGAAATAAAGTTCAAACACTCTCCTGGAAATTTAGACAAAAAAAAGAAAAAAGAAAAAGAAAGAAAGAAAGGGTGTAGAAAAATATTGAATGATATCTAGAGAATAAAGAAAAAGAGAAGGGAGAATCAATGTAATGATATAGAAAAATTTCCCTGGGAACAAAATTTTAAGTCTTTATAAAGAAAGATCTACCCAATGCCCAGCACACAAATAAAACTGACACACGAAGGAGAAATTGTTGTAAAGTTTTCAAGCACAAACTAGAGAAAGTGCTAAAAGTCTGGGGGGAAGAGAATAGTGTTACCTGCTCTATCATTTAGAATCTGTTGTAGAGATTCACTGTAGCAATAAGCATCAAAGAGATTTCTATYTGTTATCCAATGGCTTTCACTACTGGTGGGTAGGCTGACAAAATAAGCTCTAATTTGAGCTTCCAATAATTACCTGCATATCACACTGCAAAACTGGGCCACGGAAAGAATATTTGCCCTCACCCTGATCAGGAAAATACCACCTAGATCTGCTTGACATTTCAGGGAAACCATCACCTGCAGTTCCCAGCTTCCCAGCATCACACCATGTCCAGCATAAGCTACACAAACAAAATGGATGACCCATTCCCTAACTCCACACTGCCACAGAACTCAAGACCACACAATGAAATCTCTGTCACAAAGAGAATTGTTACCAATGAAAATGGGTAACTTTGACTTACAACATCCCTTTTCCCTTCTAAATTTCATGTGAATGTATCAATTAGCAGAACCTAACCTGGTAGCTCCAGTAACAAAGGTATCTAGGAAGCAGAGTTCTTAGTTTTCTAGTACCTCCAGCATAGGAAATTGTGTTATAAAGTTATGAAGGCCAAAGAAGCCAGTCCATAGTCCCTATTTTAACACAATGATCTTTCTATTCTTGAACTTTTACACAACAGTTCCACGTAATGGCTTAAACTCTACAAAAGGAGAGAAAGTCTTTGCAGTTACTGCTCCCATGTCTCAACACAGAATTGATGTAGAGAAGTTGTGGCCTTTCAAAGACTAGCTTGCATTAGAATCACCTGGGGAGCAGGTGAGTTGATTAAACAGGTAACTGGGCCCTACTTTGTTTCTGATTTAAATGGAATGAAATACAGCCCCAAATTTGTATTTATAGCAATTCCTAGGTTGTGCAGATGCTATTTGTTCATGGCAACAGTTTCAAAACCACAGCTTAAATCTATAGAATAATTATGTTACTAGCTATAATTGGTATTTATAACCTTTTTCTGACAATTTCATCTTCCTGTCTGTCACTCAAACAGCATTCAGCTTTTAGCTCTTTGGTGGGGATTATCAAAAAAACTGGGAACATTGAGTTGTAGATGGCTGCACCTCTCCAACACAGGGTCATTGAATTACAGCAGAAAGCAGAACCTCTCTCCAAAGCTCTCTCTCTCCCACCAGTAGGTGAATATTATCTATTCATGAAATATACTTCTATTGGGTTAAACCATAACAGTTTAGCCTTCATCTGTTACATGAACTAATGTTGCTTAATGAAAACAAGATTTCTTATAATAAAATATTGAAAATATGTGGCACTGGCTTAAGAGTTGCTTAGTGGATAGTGAAGCTAAGTGCTAAAATGATAGAAATACATGCTATGCAGTCTCAAAGCATTTGGTTAAAAAATTGCTATCACTGTGGCAATTTGGGAAGCAGGTATAGTGCCTGTTGAGTTTATAATTCAAAGGAAAAAGATTTTATAATAGAATATTACAGTTCCTGACTGGTTAGCAAAGTATAAGATGAAAGAGAGAAATACAGGCAAGAAATGGCTGTCTGAAAATAGAAATGAAACAAATTTCAGAAATTTGGAACTGCAAATGACTAGGAATATGGACTTACACTAGACCCTAAATTCTTGAGATAAAACACTGAGGAAGGTTTTGATCAACAAAGGCCAATTAAGATTAATCTTTTCCTTAAACATTTTTTTAAAGTTAAAAAACAAACAAAAAAAAAAAGAATAAACTTTATGGAAAAAAAATTCAGTTTAAGAACCTGGCTTTCCTATTCAAGCCCAAAGGCCTAAAGGTAGTCACCATTAAATTGAAACACAGAGGATGAAGGTGAGGAAGGAAAGATTCAAACCAGATTTGAAATTAAATCTGGGAAAGAACTCTGAATATGGATAATTATTCACAAAACTGCCTGGAAGGAAAATATTTTCAGAAGTTTATTAAAATTTGAATTTGGATTTATTAAAAGATTTGCAAAGGAACAATGAGTCTAGACTAAAAATGTGTTTCCTGTTAAAAGCTTTAAAAACAATTATCTGGTAGACTTTTGGTTACAACTGCTACTGATTGACTTCTTTCAGACTATCCTTCCCACCAAAGACAATGACAAAAAACAGGAAAATATATAAAACAAATATTTGAAGGCACCGAAAACATATCCATGCAGGTAAAACTTGAGAGCCTATGATCCTTGAGAAGGGAAACACACGAGGTGAGCTTCCAAATCATCCAGAGTTTACCAAATTGTGGTGTCAAGGAAGAGTTTGAGCAGAAAGAGGCATACAGAAAGCACCTTATTACACAGAGCAGACAGGTCAGAGAACAAAAGTGCCAAAATAGCTGAATTCATGGAGAAAAATTCCCAAGAGGAGAGAACTACAAAGAAAGAAACTCAAAACCTTTATACAAATTCCCCTCAAATTGTTGACGGACTCCTAAACGATTCATATGAAGAGTACAATTTTCAGAAATTCAGCAGAAAACAAAAGAAATTGGAATAAAGCAAATCAAAATGCTACAAAGTTTTCAATTCTTAAAGAAATTCAGTCATTTTTCTTTGAAAAAACACTCCCCAGATTGCAGAAACTTTTGATCAATTTTCAGAGTTCTGGAAAAGTTGATTCTGACAATTTTGCCAGCATTCTCGTGACTTTTATGGAAAACACATGCAGATTTTCAGATGTCCTTATTGCCTCCATTTTTGCTGACATCAACACAGGTTCTCTGTCCATAGCCATTGCATTTTATGTGCATCAGAACTAGCTGGAAGGCTTGTTAAAAATACAGCAGTGCCCTACACTTAAAGTTTCTGATTCAGGTCAAAATATTTGCATTTTTAAAAAGTTCCCAGGTAATACTGATGCTATTGGTTTGAGAATTGCTCTTTAAGAATTACTGCATTCTGTTTGCTTTGGTGACACAAATACCAAAATTGGATCAATACAGAGATTAGCATAGCTCTTGCACAAAGATAACATAGAAGTTTGTGAAGCATTCCAAGAAGGAAATTGAAGAAGACCTTAGAAGATGGAAAAACCTCCCATGTTCTTTGCTGGGCAGAATTAATATTGTCAAAATGGGCATATTATCAAAAGCATTAAGCAGATTCAATGTGATATCCATCAAATACACATCAAAATACCCATCAAAATGACATTCTTCATAGAATTAGAAAAAAACAGCCCTGAAATACATTGGAAGAATTAAAGACCAAAAATAGCCAAACAATCTTGACCAAGAAGAATAATGCCAAGACATCAAAATACCTGATATCTCAAATTATACTACAAAACTACAGTCACAAAAAGAACTGTGGTATTACAAGTGGAATAGAATACAAGATACAGAGACAAATCCACACAGATACAGTCATCTGATACTTTAAAAAGGTGCCAGAAATATATGTGGGAGAATAGAAAACCTTTTAAACAAATAGATACTAGGAAAACTGGATATAGATAAGAAGAAGAATGAAACTAGATCTCTATCACTCACCCTGAACAAAAGTCAAGTCAAAGTAAATCAAAGACTTAGGAATTAGGCCAGAAACTTTGAAACTGCTAGCAAAACTGCTAGGATTAACATTCTATCACACTGGCACAGGTACCAACTTCTTTAATAAGACCCTTAAAGCTCTAGAAATAAAACTAAGAATTTGTAAGTGGGATGGCATCTAATTAAAAAGCGTCTGCACAGAAAAGAAAATGATTAAGAGCATGAAGAGAGTGTGTACAGAATGGGAGAAAATCTTTGCCAGTTACTCCTCTGATAGGGTATTAAAAATCTAGAAAATATAAAATCCAAAAAGTTTAACACCAAAAAACAAATCAAGAAATGGCAAAAGAACAAAATTAATATTTCTCAAAAGAAGAAGTACAAATAGCCAACAAATATATAAAAAAAAAATGTTCAAGGAAATGCAAACCAAAACTACATTGAGATTTCATCTCACTCAAAAAAATACCAATAATAATAAATGTTGGTGAGGATATGGGGGAAAAGGTATACTCATACATTGTTTGTGGGACTATGAATTGGTGCAACCATTCTGGAAAACAGTAGGAAATTCTTTTTAAAAAATAAAAAAAATAAGCTAGAATAGGAACCAATATGTRATCCAGCTATCTCTGTCTTCCATGTAATCAGTGGCATTTATTCAAAAGAACTAAAATCAGCATATATAAGTGATACAGTCACATCAATTTTTATAGTAGTGCAACTGCAATAGCCAACTTATGGAACCAGTCCAGGTGCTCATCAATAGATACATGGATTTTTAAAATGTGGTGTATATACACAATGGAGTATTAACCATAAATAATGAAATTATGGCATTTGTTGGTAAATGAATTGAACTAGATAACATCCCGCTAAGTGAAATAAGCCAAACTCAGAAAATCAAGGGTTGAATGTTTTCTCTTAACCTATGCAGAAGCTAGCACAAAGTAAGAGGAAGAAAGGAAGGGGGTCAGATATTATTAGAGGAAAGACAAGTGAAGTAGGAGATTGAGGGGGAGGGAGGAGGGACAGGAAAGGGAGGAAATGAGGAATGAATTAGACAAAATATGCTATGTGCATGTATAACCATACCAGTGAATTTTACCTTCATGTATATCTATAAAGTGCCAATTATAAATAAATAAATAAATAAAAGGAAGACCAGTAGAGAGAGGGGGAATAGAGAGAGGAAGGCAATGCAGGAAAGAAGAGGCACCCCAGACTGAAAAGAAGCAAATTAAATTCCATGCATGTGTGATTATGTCAAAATAAGTCCAACTATTATGTATAACTATAATTCACTAATAAAAGGATTTAAAAAAAACACCAAAAAAATTGCATTATATACCATGTGGTTRGTTCAACTCATTGGCTTAGGGAGTGCTTCCCAACTCTAGAATCAATAATACATTGTATCTATATATGCATACACTAATACAGTTACATAAGCTAATATGTATTTAGTACTTCATTCTATGCATCATATACTTTATGTTGATTAGGTTATTTAATCTATACAACCCATTTAATCTACATAACCCATACATAGGTATTATTAGTTTCTCATAAAGAGGAATTCAAGGCCAAAGAGGTAAGTAGGTTGCCTAGAGGCAGGGAACTAGTATGAGAATATCTCTTTGTTTCTAGAGTTCATTTCTCAGAGTAACATAGATCACTTCTGATACTTTGGATGACTGTACTTGCGACATGCATGCAAGATTAAAAACAATGAGTCACACAGTGAGCAAGTGATTGCTATTTTGGTTCTATTTTTCTATCCTTTGATGGTTATGATAAAAAATGTTTTTGTGCTGTCTTTAATATTTGTTTAATGCTTGATAATCTATCTTTTCAACAAAAGATGTGTTTTTTAGTCTCAGAGCCTTTAGTGGGCAATAGTTTCTAACCAGATCCCCCCTCCCACAACAGGATCTAGTTAAATTGCTGAAGACTGGCCTGAAAGTTGCGATCCTCCTGCCTCAGCCTGCGAAGTCACTGCGATTATAAGCATGTGCCACGGTTTCTGGCTCTAACTAAAACATTATTTCATGGGTACCTTTACAGTTCAACTTAGGATAAGTGATACTAAGTTGCTAATTTACAGCACTTTCATCAAGTTTCCTTCTTAAAGAAAATGAAGAAAAATACATTAATTCAAAGAAAATAATGCTGAGTCATATACACAAATATGATATGAAAAAGATTGAAATTTGAAAAACACTACCCCCCAAAAGTAGGTTAATACTTTCTATAAGACTAAAGGGAAACTATAAGAATGTAATTAAAATATGAATTCTCTTTCAAGGAGGGAGGGACTTGGATAGAAAGTACAACTCTTAACAGCAGCATGTGTAAAGGTGGAGTGATATCAAATTGGAAATGGTTTCTTGGTGAGATATTCACCATGAAGGATGGCTGGGAATTAGATTTGCTTTCCCAAAGTGTCTAGCAAATTCTCATAGCCTGTTTCTGCAATAAATTTCGGATAATTTGTTTTCATCAATAGCGGGGGCGGGGGGGGGGGACTCAGTTCAACTGGCGGATTTTACAGTTACCAAAGGACAGCCAAAGCAATAGGGCTCTTAATTCGTGGGGGAGGGGACGCGATAAATATATCCTGGGCACTAGGCTATGGGGATGGGGCGGGGTGGTGGAGTGGGCTGGGGAGTTGAGAGAGGAAAGCAGGACTGTAATCGGAGAAGCGGACATGTTTCGGGATGAAAGAGGAGGAGATGTGCGGAACGAAAAAACAATTTTGCATGGCTGACATAATTAAACTGTTACCCGCGTTTAAATTAAGCAAGATGCCCGGGGACTACAGCTGTTGTATTAATTCTGTTTGCAAGTGATGGGAGCTGTTACTTCCCGGCTTGACAACCGGTTAGCCTCAAGACGTAAACTGCAAGGCTTCGGTCAGGCCAAGGCTATAGAGAGGAAAGGCAGGCCTTCCTTGGTCTGACAGCGGGGTAGGAGGGTAGACCGAAAAAGCACTACACAGTGCGTACCGTCAGGGTAGACAAATACGCCCTTCCTCCTGTGATTTTTTTTTTTCTCCATTTTTCCCCACTGATTCGTGAATCGCAAATGATTGCATTTTATGCTAGGAAATCCTAACCTTGTTAGGTTTCCAGTCGAATTGAGACCGATTTTAAGGCCTCCATCTTGGTAGCTGCTGTTAGAATTTCTGAAAAAGTCTAACTGCGCCAGTCCTTCCCTCGATTCTCCCCACCCGCATCCCTCTCCCTGAGACCCCGCCCTTTTCTCCCAGCCCAAACCACAAAAGGCTGTGCCGTCTCGGCCCCAACACGCTGCCCCGCCCCCTCCCCCAAACGTCGCAGTGCTGCAGGGAGAGGGGGTGGGCCCGGACTGGGGGGGGGGTATGTGGAGTCGGGCTTCGTCTTTCCGCTCTTCGCCCAATGGGTACAGTCCCTCCGAGRGATGGGGGAGTGGGGCGTGGAGACAGTCCAAGTATTTTTCCCTTTTTCTGCCACGTCCCAACCATTGACGTGGGCCCACTCCTCAGGTTCCCATTGGGTGTGTGTATTTTTCCCCGCAGAGGGACGTTGAGCCTATTGGTCAGCGCGGTTCTGGGGGCGGGGCTTACGTGTTCTCCTCCTCCTCCGCCTCGGACGCGGCGAAAGGGGCGGGACTCGCCGCCACCGCCTCTGCTTCCGCCGCCGCCGCCGCCGCCGCCAGCCGCTGCGCGTTCGGCGGGGGAGGAGTCGGAGGCGGAGAAGAAGGCGGTGGTGGCGGGTGGAGGATCGAGCGCTGTTCTCGCTCCGGAGCCGCTGCACATTTCGGTGAGGGGATTTTTTTTTTTTTTAATCTGGCTGGTTCTGATGTCGGGAGTGTGGGGGTCGGGGCGAGGAAATTGCTGCCTTCAGCTCCTCGATTTCTTCRTCTCTTCTGGAGAAGGAGCGGGGCCTGTCCCTGGCCCGCTGCGCCGGCCATGGTGGGTGGGGTTGATGGCTGTGAGAGGCCTCCTTCGCCTCCTGGGCCCTGTCCAGCCCGGACCTGGGGCTGCGCTCCTATCTGGGGCTGCCGTGTCTGCTGCCTCCCCCGAAGGATGGCATCGATCGGTGTCGGGGGTCTCCGCCCGCTGCCTTTTCCTGCCACCTCCTCTGCTGTCCTTGGTGCCTCGGCCAAGGACCCTGCTGCCGCTCTCCCCACACTCGCAACTGCCCTAGAGTGTGCCGCCCACCAACAACTCACACCCGCCTTCTCTGCCCATTTTCAGTCACCCCGCATAGAGCTGATCCATGTTGCGCCACAGGCCTGCAGCCCCCCTTCTCGGAGAAACCTCCCGTTGCGGCCGCTCTGTTGGGTTGGGTATATTTGTATTTTTCTTGATTGTCACGGGGTCTGGGCCCGCAGACAACCTGTTCAGACCCTAGAGATCGTTCTCTCGATGTTAGCACCATTCCATCAATGCTTCTCCCCGTTAGGATGTCAGGTCAGAGCATGCCTCTGGCAGATGCACCTCCAATTTTGGCCTCCCTAAGATTACT